GGGAGGGGGGAAGGAGGGGGGAGGGGAGCAAGGGGAGGGGGGAAAGGAAGGAAGGGAGGGAGAGAGGGAGGGAGGGAGAGAAGGCGTGGGGAGAGAAGTAAAATAATAACAAATGCTGGCAAAGATGTGGAGAAATTGGAACCCTTATACACTGTTAATGGAATGTAAAATGGTGTAGCCGCTACGGAAAACAGTATGGCAGTTTCTCAAAAATTTAAAAACAGTAACTCCACATGGTCCCTCAATATACCCAAGAGGATCAAAAGCAGGTACAAAAGCATGTACACCCATGTTCATGGTAGCATTATTCACAATAGCCTAAAGGTGAAAGCAACCCAAGTGTCCATCAATGGATGAACAGATAAAACGTGGCAGGGACTTCCCTGGTGGTGCAGTGGTTGTCCAATGCAGGGGACAAGGTTCAAGCCCTGATCAGGGAAGATTCCACATGCTGCAGAGCAACAAAGTTCGTGAGCCACAACTAATGAGCCCTTGTGCCACAACTACTGAAGCCCGCACACCTAGAGCCCATGCTCTGCAACAACAGAAGCCACCACAATGAGAAGCCCGTGCACTGCAACAAAGAGTAGCCCCTGCTCGCCGCAACTAGAGAAACCCCACGCGCAGCAACGAAGACCCAATGCAGCCAAAAATAAGTAAATAAATAAATATTTAATAAATAAATAAATTTATTTTTTTAATTGCCCTGTTCTTTTTTTTAAAAAAAAGTGTGGCATATCTGTGCAATGGAATATAATTCCGTTTTAAAAAGGAAAGGCATTCTGACCCCTGCTACACCGTGGATGAACCTTGAGGACATTATGCCAAGTGAAATAAGACAGTCACAGAAGGACAGATGCTGCATGACTGTGCTCCTATGAGATGCCTTAGAATAGTTCAATTCATAGGGGGAAAAAGCAAAATGGTGGCTACCAGGGGCTGGGGTGAGGGGGAAATGGGGAGTTATTTAATGATACAGACTTTTAGTTTTACAAGATGAAGAGTGTTGGACATTACAATTGTAATGAATTCACAATATGAATGTACTTAACACCACTGAACTGTACACTTAAGTGATTAAGTTGGTAAATTGTACGTTATGTTTATTTTATCACAATTTTTAAAGTTTTAAATATATATAAAGCAAATTCTACTATTGGCCTCACAAGCTGAAAGCAGAAGACAATATTATGTCTTGTTTATCACTGTACCGACCTCATGCATATTCCAGGGTCTGATAAGGGACATACATTCAACAAAGTTTGGCCAAAACAACACAAGTCCTCTAGAAGTTTTTCCCCCAAAATGATCCATCTAAGAGTGTCACTGTTCTGCTTAAAAATCTCAGTTCTCTGATCCTAAATTCCTGCTCTAAATAATGAAAGTAAGGGGTATAAAGTATACAGGAACTTTCTGTACTCTCTTTGCAATTCGTCTGTAAAATAGAAAGTTTATTTTTTCAAAATGATAGGGAGGGGTCTAGAGCAGTGGCATGAAAAGGGCTGTGCTAGTGAAGTGAAGAAAGGCAAGTTCTCTGATGGTACATCCAGCATAGTTGACAACAAATAAAACAAACAAAAATATGCATATGAATAAGACTGGGAAGGAATATGCAAAATACATTAAAAAGAAACTCGTAACCAAATGAAAAAAAATAGCAAGAAAACCATAATGATGGTGGGGTCTTGGTCGATGTCACAGTCCCTAATCCCCCTTCTGGGCCAACATTAACCACCATTCATACATTCTCTCCCACGAACAGAGGAAACTGGATCGTGTTTGACATGAATTATGGCAAGAGAAGAGAGAAGGGCATGAGCCATAACAGGGAGCTATAATATTACAGCTCTGGCCTAAGAAGCCTCCAGTGAAGAGTAATGCAATCGCCTGGCTCCTTTTCATTGCTCAAAGTATTATAGAAACAACTCTAAGTCACATTTTCTTAAATCCTGGAAATGTCCCAGTGAAATCAGAAACTTCGTAAGAGAGGAGAATCAATCCCAGGGCTTTGAAATGGTTTGATAAATGCATGGTTCATTTTGATTACAAAGAGAAATAGCAAGATGAGGTGAGGCAGCCTGGTTGGGTGGCGAGGGCACAGGCTGTAACTCTGGGAACCTGGCTGTGCCACCAATGGAACATGGGAGTTCAGACAGGTCACTTCCATGATCCTGGCCTCGGTTTTCCCATCTATAAAATGAGATTGGTCCACAGCAGTGGCTCACAAACTGCAACAGAATCACCTGGAGGGCTTGTTAAAACACAGAGTGCTGGGCCGCACCCCCAGAGTTTCTGATTCAATAGATCTGGGGTGGGGCCCCCAAATTTGCATCTCTAACAAGTTCACAGGTGGGGTGATGCTGGTGATCTGGGACCCCACCTTGAGAACCACCAATCTTTGCCACTGACATTTCAAGAGTTGTAACAAACACATCACGTGCCTTCTCACGCTCTTAAAGCCCTTCCTTCCTTCATCCATCCTTCCATCCATTTATTTGTACAACAAATATTTTAGGGACTCATACTATGCATGAGGCATTTTGCCAGGGGCTCAAAGGTAAACAAGTAAGATTGCTGGAGAAACAAAAATACACACGTATAGTATTGCATAAATTGTGGAGTACACAAAATATAGAGCAATAAGCTGGCACCAGACTTCTCATCTGCATCGTGGGAAACCAGAAGCCAGTGGAAGAGTAGCTAGAATCCACTGCAAGGAAAGGACTGCATCTCAAGAACACTATCCCCAGCCAAGATGGCACCCACTTGTCAGGGCAAAAGACAGAAAGATATTTGAAGGTATGCCAAATATAATTGTTTGACAACTACTTGTTGTTCAACTATGATCCTGGTACTTGGGATATAAAAATGTCAGTAAAATAAAGTATCTGTCCTTGATGAGTTTAACATTGAGTGGGGAGGGCGGTGGAAAGATGGCGGAGGAGTAAGACGCGGAGATCACCTTCCTCCCCACAAATACACCAGAAATACATCTACATGTGGAACAACTCCTACAGAAAACCTACTGAATGCTGGCAGAAGACCTCAGACCTCCCAAAAGGCAAGAAACTCCCCACGTACCTGGGTAGGGCAAAAGAAAAAATTAATTAAAAACAGAGACAAAAGAATAGGGACGGCACCTGCACCAGTGGGAGGGAGCTGTGAAGGAGGAAAGGTCTCCACACACTAGGAAGCCCCTTCGCGGGCAGAGATTGCGTGAGGCGCAGCGGGGAGCTTCGGAGCCGCGGAGGAGAGCACAGCAACGGGGGTGCGGAGGGCAAAGCGGAGAGATTCCCGCACAGAGGATCGGCGCCGACCGGCGCTCACCAGCCCGAGAGGCTTGTGTGCTC